TCTCAAATACACAACCTAACCCTACACCTAAAGGAACTGGAGAAAGAACAGCAAATAAAGCCTAAACCCAGCAGGAGAAGAGAAATAATAAAGATCAGAGCAGAAATCAATGAAATAGAAACCAAAGAACAGAACAGATCAACGAAACTAGGAGCTGGTTCTTTGAAAGAATTAACAAGACTGATAAACCCCTGGCCAGACTTACCAAAAAGAGAAGAGAAAGGACCCAAATCAACAAAATCATGAATGAAAGAGGAGAGATCACAACCAACACCAAAGAAATACAAACAATTATAAGAACATATTATGAGCAACTCTATGCCAGAAAATTAGATAATCTGGAAGAAATGGATGCATTCCTAGAGACGTATAAACCACCAATACTGAACCAGGAAGAAATAGAAAACCTGAACAGACCCATAACCAGTAAGGAAATGGAAGCAGTTATCAAAAATCTCCCAACAAACAAAAGCCCAGGGCCAGATGGCTTCCCAGCGGAATTCTTTTTTTTTTTTTAAAGATTTTATTTATTTATTTGACCGAGAGATAGAAGAGCACAAGCAGAGGGAGTGCAGAGGGAGAGGGAGAAGCAGGCTCTGCACTGAGCAGGGAACCTGATGCGGGACTTGATCCCAGGACCCTGAGATCATGACCTGAGCCGAAGGCAGACGCTTAACCATCTGAGCCACCCAGGCGCCCGGAATTCTAACAAACATTTAAAGAAGAATTAATACCTATTCTTCTGAAACTGTTCCAAAAAATAGAAATGGAAGGAAAACTTTCAAACTCGTTTTATGAGGCCACCATTACCTTGATCCCGAAACCAGACAAAGACCCCATCAAAAAGGAGAATTACAGACCAATATCCTTGATGAACACAGATGCAAAAATTCTCACCAAAATACCAGCCAATAAGATCCAACAGTACATTAAAAGGATTATTCACCACGACCATGTGGGATTTATTCCTGGGCTGTAAGGTTGGTTCAACATCCACAAATCAATGTGATACAATACATTAATAAAAGAAAGAACAAGAATCATATGATCAAAAAAAAAAATCATATGATCCTCTGAATCAATGCAGTAAAAGCATTTGACAAGATACAGCATCCTTTCTAGATCAAAACTCTTCAGAGTATAGGGATAGAGGGTACATACCTCAATATCATAAAAGCCATCTATGAAAAACCCACAGCAAATATCATTCTCATTGGGGAGAAACTGAGAGCTTTCCCCCTAAGGTCAGGAACGCGGCAGGGATGTCCACTATCACCACTGCTATTCAACATAGTATTAGAAGTCCTAGCCACAGCAATCAGACAACAAAAAGAAATCAAAGGCATCCAAATCGGCAAAGAAGAAGTCAAACTCTCACTCTTGCAGATGATATGATACTTTATGTGGAAAACCCAAAAGACTCCACTCCAAAACTGCTAGAACTCATACAGGAATTCAGTAAAGTGGCAGGATAGAAAATCAATGCACAGAAATCAGTGGCATTCCTATACACCAACCACAAGACAGAAGAAAGAGAAATGAAGGAGTCGATCCCATTTACAATTGCACCCAAAATCATAAGATACCTAGGAATAAGTCTAACCAAAGAGACAAAGGATCTGTACTCAGAAAACTATTGAATACTCATGAAAGAAATTGAGGAAGACACAAAGAAATGGAAAAACGTTCCATGCTCATGGATTGGAAGAACAAATATTGTGAAGATGTCCATGCTACCTAGAGCAATCTACACATTTAATGCAATCCCCATCAAAATACCATCCAGTTTTTTCAAAGAAATGGAACAAATAATCCTAAAATTTGTATGGAACCAGAAAAGACCCCGAAGAGCTAGAGGAATGTTGAAAAAGAAACCCAAAGCTGGCAGCATCACAATTCCGGACTTCCAGCTCTATTACAAAGCTGCCATCATCAAGACAGCATGGTACTGGCACAAAAACAGGCACATAGATCAATGGAACAGAATAGAGAGCCCAGAAATGGACCCTCAACTCTATGGTCAACTAATCTTTGACAAAGCAGGAAAGAATGTCCAATGGAAAAAAGACAGTCTCTTCAACAAATGGTGTTGGGAAAATTGGACAGCCACATGCAGAAGAATGAAACTGGACCATTTCCTTACACCACACACAAAAATAGACTCAAAATGGTTGAAAGACCTCAATGTGAGACAGGAGTCCATCAAAATCCTAAAGGAGAACACAGGCAGCAACCTCTTCGACCTCAGGCGCAGCAACTTCTTCCTAGAAACATCACCAAAGGCAAGGGAAGCAAGGGCAAAAATGAACTCTTGGGACTTCATCAAGATAAAAAGCTTTTGCACAGCAAAAGAAACAGCCAACAAAACCAAAAGACAACTGACAGAATGGGAGAAGATATTTGCAAATGATATATCAGATAAAGGGCTAGTATCCAAAATCTATAAAGAACTTGTTAAACTCAACACCCAGAGAACAAATGATCCAATCAAAAAATGGGCAGAAGACATGAACAGACGTTTTTCCAAAGAAGACATCCAAATGGCCAATAGACACATGAAAAAGTGCTCAGCATCACTCGGCATCAGGGAAATCCAAATCAAAACCTCAATGAGATACCACCTCACACCAGTCAGAATGGCTAAAGTTTACATGTCAGGAAACGACAGATGTTGGCGGGGATGTGGAGAAAGGGGAACCCTCCTACAGTGTTGGTGGGAATGCAACCTGGTCCAACCACTCTGGAAAACAGTGTGGAGGTTCCTCAAAAGTTGAAAATAGAGCTACCCTACGATCCAGCAATTGCACTACTGGGTATTTACCCCAAAGATAACAAATGTAGGGATCTGAAGGGGTACGTGCACCCCGATGTTTATAGCAGCAATGTCCACAATAGCCAAACTATGCAAAGAGCCAAGATGTCCATCAACAGATGGACAATTAAATCTTTCCATTTTCAACAACATGGATGGAACTAGAGGGTATTATGCTAAGCGAAATAAGTCAATCAGAGAAAGACATGTATCAGGTGCCTGGGTGGCTCAGTTGGTTAGGCGACTGCCTTCGGCTCAGATCATGATCCTGGAGTCCCTGGATCGAGTCCCGCATCCGGCTCCCTGCTCGGCAGGGAGTCTGCTTCTCCCTCTGACCCTCCCCCCTCTCATGTGCTTGCTCTCTCTCATTCCCTCTCTAATAAATAAAATCTTTAAAAAAGACATGTATCATATGATCTCACTGATATGAGGAATTCTTTTTTTTTTTTAAAGATTTTATTTATTTATTTGACAGAGAGAGAGACAGTGAGAGCAGGAACACAAGCAGGGGGAGTGGGAGAGCAAGAAGCAGGCTTCCTGCCAAGCAGGGAGCCCGATGTGGGACTCGATCCCAGGACCCTGGGATCATGACCTGAGCCGAAGGCAGATGCTTAACGACTGAGCCACCCAGGTGCCCTGATATGAGCAATTCTTAATCTCAGAATCAAATTGAGGGTTGCTGGAGTGGTGGGGGGTGGGAGGGATGGGGTGACTGGGTGATAGACATTGGGGAGGGTATGTGCTATGGTGAGCACTGTGAATTTGTAGGACTGTTGAATCACAGACCTGTACCTCTGAAACAAGTAATACATTGTATGTGAAGAAGAAGAAGAGGAAGAGGAAGAAGGAAGAAGGAAGGAAGAAGAAGAAGAAGAAGAAAAAAACAGGAAGGGAAAAATGAAGGAGGGGAGATCAGAGGGGGAGACGAACCATGATAGGCTATGGACTCTGAGAAACAAAACTGAGGGTTCTAGAGGGGAGGGGGGTGGGGGGATGGGTTAGCCTGGTGATGGGTACGTACTACATGGAGCACTGGGTGTTATACGCAAACAATGAATCATGGAACACTACATCAAAAACTAATGATGTAACATACGGTGATTAACATAATAAAATAAAATAAAATAGGGCAGAAGACATATACAGACATTTCTCCAAAGATACATACAGATGGTCAACAGACACATGAAAAGATGTTCATCATCACTCATCATCAGGGAAATGCAAATCAAAATCACAATGAGATACCATCTCACACCTGTCAAAATGGCCAAACTCAAAAACAGAAGAAACAACAAGTATTGGCAAGGATGTGGAGAAAAAGGAACTCCTGGGCACTGTTGGTGGGAATGAGAACTGATGCAGCCACTTGGAAAACAGTATTGGTAATTAAATATATTATCCATATTTATATTATATTATCCAATAAATTAAAGTATAATTAAAAAGAATTACCATAGGATCCAGTAATTCTACTACTGAGTATTCACCCAAAGAATATGGAAACACTAATCTAAAAAGATATATACACCCCTCTATTTATTAAAGCATTATTTACAATTGCCAAGATATGGAAGCAACTCCAGGTATGTTCATTCATAAGTGAAAAGATAAAACAAGTGGTAGTATATATACATAATGGGATTTTATTCGGCCATAAAACGGATGAGATTTGCCATTCACAACAACATGAATGGACCAAGAGGGTATTTGTGCTAAGTGAAGTAAGTCAAAAGCAAATACCATATGATTTCACTTACAGGTGGAATCTAAATGAATACACAAAAAGCAGAATCAGACTTATAAATAAAGAGAAGGGTTGGTTGCCAGAGGGGAGGCAAGTAGGGGGATGGGCAAAATGGGTGAAGGAGAGTTGGAAATACAGGCTTCCTGTTATGCAACACGTCACAGATATAAAAGATATAGCATAGGGGATATAGTTAATTGTGTTGTGATAGCGTTGTATGGTGCCAGATGGGAGCTATACTTGGGGTGAGCATAGCCTAACATATAGAGGATTGAATCACTATGTTGGATACCGGAAACTAATGTGGCATTGGGATCAACTATACTCAATGTTAAAAAAAAATTTTTTTTTAAAGAATATCACCTAAAAACCGAATTTGTTTGTAAAAGGATTCTCTCATTTCAATCATTTTAAGTCAAACATTTTCTGCTTTGCTTTCAGCTTGATGATTTCCTGAATCAGATCTATAAGCTCCAGGGATCTCGAGATGAACAGAGACAAATGAAAACTTGGAAAGCAAACTCAGGCACTTACAAATTATTTCAGAAAATACGTTGATTTCAAGAATGAACCCTTAGGGGTGCCTGGGTGGCTCAGTTGGTTGGGCGTCTACCTTCGGCTCAGGTCATGGGATCAAGCTCCACATCGGGCTCCCTGCTCAGTGGGGAAACTGCTTCTCCCTCTCCCTCTGTCTTTCCCCACTGCTTGTGCTTGCTCTCTTTCTCTCTGTCAAATAAATACATAAAATCTAAAAAAAAAAAAAAAAAAAAAAAAAATGAACCCTTAGATAAGAAAATACTGCTATCTTTTTTCCCATATTTTCTTATATATCAATAACATTTTCATTAGTTAGAAATATTAATGAAAGAAACTCAAAGTCACTTAATATTTCAATTGGACTTTTTAAAAAAAGATTTATTTATTTGAGCGAGAGCACAAGCAGAGGGAAGAGGCAAAGGGAGAGGGAGAAGCAGGCTCCCGTGACTTGAGCCGAAGGCAGACATTTAACTGACTGAGCCACCCAGGCGCCCTGAATTGATGGACTTCTTAGCCTTTATTATTTTTTGTCCAATAAATGTTTCATGTTATGGTAAACACAATTTAAATGTCATCTTAAAAACTAGTTCTAAAAGGTGTAAAATTCCTGAAAGGCAAAAGGATCTTCAGGGCAAAAGTAGACAGAGGTGTCAAACAACATGATCTGTATTAAAAGGAGACTGACAGAGCAAGCTAAGATTTACACTCATATTGATACAAATACTCTCAGAAAAGTAATAGATCACCTGTGATTAAAGCTATGGAAAAGCTATAAGTACCTCTGAGAAACTAAGAAGGCTTCTGGCTTTTATCTGGACCATCATTTTGCAGTAAAATCATAGAAAAGTCCACCAGTGTTGAAAAGTATTTTATCTAGGTATAAATCAGGCTGCAATAAAGCTGTGATATCCCTGTGAGTGGTATGAACAAAGTATGAACTTTTACTTGGAGGAATAGGTCTTTAAAATGTTTTTATATAGTATAGTTAACTACTTTATATTTAAGTTTAGTTTTTAAGATAAAGAAATTTACTTTAAAAAATCCCACTATGGAATCCTAGATAGCTACTTCCAAATGAAGCAGACTTGTAAAATAATATACATGGTGTTTATCTCTCAATTAGTGGGGAAAAAATGAAACTTACTAATTGATTAGTGAATAAAGCTTACTTTTGTCTGACGAATTAGCTGTCTCTGTGTTTTGTTCACCCATCTTTCCCTTTTATCCCTGTTTCTTTCTCTAATTTGGGGAAGGTATGACTAAGGGAGACTCTGAGATCTGGGGCAAAGAGGCCAGTTGTCAGCCTTATGCTGGCCCTTAAGCATGCACTGGTGGGTATTTGTTGGTCTGTATGGTGGGATCTAGTCCATTTTGTCCCTGGATGCTCTGAAGCACTGTGATGCTGAAATGTGAACTCTCTTCTTTTTGCTCAACATTCATCTTTCTAAACTGGCCCCATCTTGGCTCTTTCTGGTACAACTTGAGTTGTATCCCAGCACATCCCCTATGAACCAACAGACTGAGTGATTCATACAATGGAACCTTCAGGATGGGCTCTCCTTTCAGCCACAACCCCTATGAGAACTGAATGCAGTTTTGAGAAGTTAAATATTAGCACCTCCCTCTGCCTGACCACGTTTCTCAGTTTTTCTGTAGTTGTGTCCCAGGTGAATATGGGACAACATGAGCTATCTTCCTCCTGAGATCCCAGATGCTTGTAAAAAACAAGAGTCTCCCCACCTCCCTTCCTCAATTCAGATTTATGTTCTGTAGCAGTTCCTTGCACACGATCCATACTGAAGCACATAAAGGAGAACTGAAAAAGCTTTTCTTAAAATTGGGTTCCCAGAGCTAAAAAAGAAGTGGGCTTCTCTATCCTCATTATATCATGTCCTTTTTTTACTCTAAAGCTCAACTATTGTGATAGGCAGATGAGGCAGCAATCTAGGATCTCAATACAGACTCTTACTGACAGCTACCACTTACAGGGCTACTGTATGCAAAGCATTATTCTAGGCACTTCATATAGGTCAACTCATTTAATCTCCACAAGAGTTATGTGATGGGGCCTGTTATTATCCTCATGAACCAAATGAAGAAATGGAGGTACAGTTGGTTAAGTGGACAGGATTGTGGAAGAAAGCACACCCCAGCTTTCTGGGTAAATCCTCCTCAGGACTGGGATTTGCATAGTGGACATTTGGTTTGTGCAGGTAATGGTTTTGGACTGTCAGTTGCCTCAATGATTTCCTTACTAAATGTTGGGAACAAAATTTTTGTTTTAATTCTAGCTTGCTATGCAGCAAATTAGTCCAAAACTCAGTGGCTGGAACAGCAGTGATTTCTCACTGTTCAGGTTTTGGTGGGTAGACTGTGCTGAAAAGTTGGTTTTCCCTGTGTGATATTGGTCTGTGGTTACATTGAACCGGGAGTCTGACTGTGGCTGGGATGTCCAAGATGGCCTCACTCAGATCCCTGGAGGGGCTGGGGTTTCTGTGGCCCAGGCATTTTCCCCCATGTCGTTCATTTCTCACCACTCGGTAGCACAGTCTGTGCTTCTTAAATGGTAGCTAGTTCCCAAGAGGTAGCATGATTGCAGCTTTATACTCTGGACTCTTGCTTGCCCGCATACTCATCCTTCTTTCAAAGAAAGGGTCAAGTTTGCTGTCAATTAGCTCTTCTCCCACAGCCTCACCATAGAATACTGGGAAAGTAGAGGTCTCTTTTCATTTTTAACTCTTTATTTTAATTCAACCTGGTGGTGATTTTCCTGGTAGTACCCCCTTTAAACCTTTAAGAGTTTTATATGAACCTTATCAGTACTTACTACAGCTATGTCCCACAAACCATAGCTACCGTCCTTTTGAGACAGATTTCTCTCTTCTTGGTGCTTGTCAGGCTGCTATACATAATACTCTTAAGATTTTTATATTCTTTGTCTACCTATGAACTGCTATTAAGCCCTGCCTTATAAAAGGTGTTATTGTCAATTTGATTTTATCTGCACCTGGAGACAATCTTACTTTGAGACTCCCTTCTCTATTTCCTGTAAAATCTGCATGAAAACTAAATCAATGTTTAGCTTGTTTTTCCTCATACAACTGCTTATCATACATGGCTAACAGAAGACATTTGTCACTTTAACATTCTGCCTGGAAATTTTGTTAGTTTGGCTCACAAGTTCGTTACACGGTGTTAGATTTTCCATGTTCTCACAGGTAACACGACCGCTAATGGTTACAACCATGCATTACACTGAGTCTCCTTTTCTCCAGCCTCCAGTAACAATCTTGTCCCCAATCTTGCAGCCATCACCGACAATCTCTTTGCTGTCCTTTTGGCATTTACTTGTCCATGGTCCCTAATCCAATGCCACCGATTTTAGGGTTTTGTTATGGCAGCACCTCACTTCCAGGGACCAATGTATGTTTGAGATAGGTCTTGATGCAAAATGAATTACCCAAATATTTAATTGCCTACAAAATTTATAAGTTGTTTATCACAGTTCTGTGGGTTTGCTGGGTTCAGTGGGATGGTTTTCTGTTTTAAATGGAGGTGGCTGTGGTTACTCCAGCAGCACATTCCACAGAGAGATCACTGGGGCCAGAGTGTCCAAGATGACCTCGCTCCCATCTCTGATACCTTACAGGGGTTGAGGAGTGGCAATTTGTTGGCTAGGCCTCTGGTTGACTTCAAGTAGTCAGGCTTGAGTTTCTTCACATGGATGTTGACTTTCAGGAAGATTCCTGGGGAGTCACACAATCTACCCCCCTCCAGATTCTACTGGTCCAAGAGGGTCAAAGGGCCATTCCAGAGTATGTGGATTTATTCAAGAGAAGAGGAAACTGGCCCCATGGCTTTATGGAAAGAGCCATATGCACACACAGGGACGTCCTAGAAGTTGTTGCCATTCATCTTTGCAGACAATTCACCACAAATACAGTAACCTCTGATTTGTTTTGCTTGCGCTCATATTCCTCCAACTAGATCAGAAGATAGACTTTGCTATTTATCATTTCTGTGACCTTGAGCATGTTACTTGTAATAGAACACTCCCTCAAAGACTGAAATAGTATACGAGAACCATCTGACCTCATACCTGACTTTAATAAATATTTAACAAATAGAGGTTTATTCACCTCCCTGTACTTTTTAAGAGATAATTTCCCTCAGAACAAATACATTTAGAAAGTAAATTTTCTGTGCAAAAGGGAAAGTGCACTTTTTAAGAAATCTTGGAAATGCCTCACAGAAAATTTTAAAATTGTAATGCTTGCTGTTGATTTTAAGTACTTAAACCTGTGTCCTTTTATTGGCTATGTGGTCCTATCTCTTTTGAAATCTCTTGAAATTATTTACATATCTACTAAACATTATATAATAAATATCTTGACAACACCTGAAACTCTTATATATTAGACTAAAAAAGTGTCAGGGACACAATACTGTAATATAAAAACATAGGCATTAACCAATAAAGTAAAGGTCTGAATTTTTCTCTTCAAATATTATTTGTAATTTTAAGGAAAACATTTAGAATTGTAAATACTATAAAACACTGAGAATAAAAGAAAACAGTAATCTAAATATTTTCCTTAAATTAGAATACACATAGCCACATTAATTTAAAAAACAATATATTTTTAAAGACATTTATTTTAGAGAGAGAGAGAGAGCACAAGCATGGGGAGGGGCAGAAGGAGAGGGAGAGAGAGAATCCTCAAGCAGACTCCCCACTGAGCACAGAGCCCAACACAGAGCTCAATTCCCAGACCCTGAGATCATGACCTGAGCCAAAGGCAGATACTTAACTGACTGAGCCACCCACATGCCCTGAAAATCAATATTGTTTTGAAAATACCCCTTTTCATTCTTTTTATTGTATTGATCAACTTCTGATATAAATATTTTAAAACAGAACTATAATAACTTAGCATAGTTTATACTGAACAGCCTAAAGAAAGAGATATCACAATAAAGAAAGTTGAACATTTTATTGTGAAGTTTAACATTTATGTAAAACGTGAAGTGATATATGTGGAAAATAGCCTTGTTTATTCATGCTTCCAATAATGCCTACCTTATGATGCTGCCATTACAGAGGTTAATACAAATGTATGGAAGAAAGGAGCTGTTAGTTGACTTTAAATCAAAATGGTGAAAATACAGTATTGTCTTCATATCCCAAAAGGAGCTGCTACATAGACTTTAAAGATT